TTTTTTTTTTTTTTTTTTTTTTTTTTTTTTTGTACATTTAGTTCTTTGTAATTTGAATTTTCCTTTTGTGGATATTAAAAAGAAATGTGTAACTTGGAAATAAAGAGAAGGGTGCGATCTCTGGATACGAAGTGATGAATTTATTCATTTTTAGAAAAGAAATGTTTGTCAGAAGTCGAATTAAATGTTTTATTTTGATTGCAAGGGAGAGGCAATGAAAATGAAACGTTTCACTATGGTGAAAAATGAAACTGGATTAAAAAAAAAAATGTTTGAAAAATTGAAGTTTGAATTGAATTGAAATACTCAGTATGAAAAGTTATGATCAAATTAAACATCTGACGTTTCAAGTTAAATTCGAGCTGAAAGAATTAAATTTAATTAGAATCAAAATTGTCGAAATTAAAATTGAGATTAAGTCAAATATTTGACGTTGAGATTAAAATTCGAGTTACAATCGAGTTGAAACATACCGAAAATTGAAATCGAACTGAACATTTAAAAATTCAAATTAAAATTGAAATCAGTGTCGAAATTAAAATACGAGAATCGGAATTAGAACTGAGTCGAGATTAAAATTCACAAATTACAATCAAATTGAAGCATCGAGGTGACAAATTCAGATTAGACGTTTTAACATCAAGATTAAAGTTCAATCAACAGAAATTGAAATTGCGACGTTAACATGAAAATTGAAAGATTGAAATTAAATCGGGATCACAACAATCACCCATCCAATCCGTTAATAACGTTATTGGAGAACAAATTATCGTACGAATATCCTTCAATCGACGCTTGTTCGCTGTAATTAATCAACTTGATGTCACTGCCTGCTGATCAGATGTTTAAACTGTCCGCAGGTATCGGGATCGACGACACGTTCGTCATGTTAGCGGCTTGGAGACGAACGAGCATAATGAAACCGGTGCCTGAAAGGATGGCCGCGACTCTCAGCGAGGCTGCCGTCTCCATCACTATCACATCCTTGACTGATATGATATCGTTCTTCATCGGCATCCTCTCACCTTTCCCCTCTGTGCAGATCTTCTGCATTTATTCAGGTTTCTAACGCGCGATTTCATGTGAAAATGAAACGACTGCGGATTCTCGTGCCTTCGTTTACAAATTTAACCCTTTGCACTCCAGACTATTTGTTATATTGAAAATCTTGCTTTTTGTCGTTAAAAAAAAATGTGAATACATTTTTTAAAAATATGTTTTATTAATACAATATAATTAAAAAAATATATAAGAGTACAATAAATAAAAAAAATTACTTTTCGAGTTTCTTCG